TAGAGATGAGCTCTCCGTATGTTGCTCAGCCTGGTCTCAAACTCCTGGCCTCAAACAATTCTGCTACTTTGGCTTCCCAAGGTTTTAGGATGATAGGTGTGTGCGAGTGTACCTGTCCCAGATTTTTGACCTTTTACTCAGTTATTCTTACTATTTCTCAAAGCCTCCTTGCCAACAGTCCCCAACCTTTTTGATACCAGGGACTGGTTTCATGGAAGACGCTTTTCTCATGGATAGGGGAATGAGGGAGAGACGGAACAAGAGGGGAATTCAGGAGGTGATGCTGTGTGACTGGGTTCTTAACAGGCCACAGAGGGCTATCAGTCTGTCCCCTGCCCCCGGGGATGGGGCCCACAGCTGTACACAAGCAATGCCACCGATCTGTTCACACATGAAGGACAGGAACCCATATTCTGAGGCTAAACTTTCTGTCCTAGATAAAAGAAATCCTTTATCAGGGAAACTTCTAAATCACATCATAACTATTGCAAATCCAACAGGAGTGTGACATACAACACAAATGGCCCTGCTGCACATGTGACCAATATTATATCAAATCACCTGGATATTGTCAAGTGTCCAGGACTTCTCTGGGCGTTATCATCACCCATGACATCAGTGAGTTAAGTGAAGTCAAGGTCTAAAATGATCCGTGTACTCACAGCACTATCCAAAGACAAAAATCCCTGAACAAGCCTTTTGGAATCTTTCAGAAGAGTGTCTCTTAGGATGTGGAGGAAATGGGAAGCCAGATCAGAAAGAAGAGTATAAAGACCAACTAGGTTTGAGAATCCAAAACATGAAAAAAGGAAAAAAAGAAATTATAGCAATAACTGTGAATTTACCACATCTATTTTTTTTTTCTTTTTTTTTGTGGGAAGGAGAAATAATCCATTTATTTTATTTGGCTATCGTAGTGAACATAGATTTCAAGATAAACTTATTTCTTCTGTGAGGAACTTGAAAGAATGTTCCAGTTAATTTTGTATCCAGCTCCCTGCTTAGCCCAACCACATCCCTGTCCTAGAATATTTAGTTTTGTATATCAAAGGCTTCACAGCTATTGAAAGGATAAATGCACCAGTAAAAGAAATACAGGAAGCTGCAGAGCTGACTGGCTGTTTACCTGAGAGATGCCCAATGCAATGAGGCATCTCTGGATGGGCCCATGCGGGGTGGTTTTCTGCCTCAGTGAGGTGGTCCTCCCTTTCCTCTCTCTCCTTGCCCCACTCTGCCCAATATTTTCCTTCCTTATTCATGTTTGTCTTCCTCCCTGTCATGTTTATTATAGCACAGAGCAATTTCCACCCAGTGTACTGCTCAACAGAAAAATATTGGCCTAATCTTCCAGATGGACTGGAACAAGAGATTCCCATGGCGTATTGTCAAGCTTAAAAAGGAGCACAGTTGACATAGAATTGACCTTGAAATACCATCTAAGCCATTCTCTTAGTTACATAAAGAGCATGTGATTACCCAGATTTTTGAAAATGTGTTTGATAGACACCCCAAGTTTAGGTTCCATGTCTGTGTGCCACTGTTTGGGCATAAGCACTCAATTACTCCCTTAAGTCATTTAATGGACTTTTGTATAGCCTTTACACAAAATCCTACCCACTTCCCAAGAGTGCTTACAATAAAAGGCGCCTGCACACACACACACACACACACAAATATGAAACAGTAACAGTAATGCCCCTAGAAGAAGCATAATAAGGAAAGGAAAGTGCTGTGGGGGGAAGTATTTTTGAGCAGCTTTCTTTAGAAAATTCTGGGCCAAAAAATCTTTTATCTTATGCTCATATTGCCACTCTGTGATTATTTTAAAGCAGGAATGGAAAGGAAGTCTGAAGATAAGAAATCCCTTAATTTCATCAATCACAACAAGAGCCATCTTAAAAGTATTGAATTCTTCCTAATAAACTGTCAGCTAGCTGTCAGCACCTAACGACATTTGCTGTGAAATTTGCAGTTCTGTGGCACTGGCATTATCAGTGCTGTGGATGCCCCAGGCTCTGATAAAAATACCTGGCTCCAGCAATAACATCTAGTTATCTCAATTTAAAGTTCTTTGTTTTATTATTGCTTTTGATGGCTATAGAGGATGTTTAGAAGACATACATACTTGGAATCTGGCACCCTGGCTAGAGGGAAATTGCCCGGGGGTCAGTTGCTTGGGGAGAACCAGCTGGGTTAGCCACCTTAGAGAACAAGGTGGCAGTGGAAACAGGAGGTGGCTGTGTAGGTCAGGATTTGGCCTTGAATTTGGACAACTCATTAAATACAAAGTTCACAAACAATAACATAGAATCCATTTTCAAAAAAGAAATGAATGGTTAAAAAATAAGTACTACTATCTGTATCCATTTCCATTGGCACAAAAATATATCCTCTGGGACTAAAGTCAAATAATTTCAAGAGTATATAATTTATAGGGTAAAGGAACCTTTAATTAATAGGCCATGTAGTCTAAAATTTGCCTTGAACTACAGGAATTTACCTCAATTGGCTACTACCAGCCACAGCTTCCATTTCCCACCATAATTATTACAGTTACTTCAGGATCTGCTTACATGGCTGGTTTTTAGACACCATAGTTGCCGCTAATATTTCCACTGCCTACTCCTGGAACTTTATAGATCTCAATAAAAGGTCAAAATTATTACCTGTTAACAGGTTCGCCTCCTGAATACCAGTGAGAGCAAACAATTTCCTCCCCTTACTTGATTGGGAATTAAAAAATATTTTGATTCTAAAAAAAATTTTGGATTCTTTGAAAACTAAAAGAAATAGTGATGTGAAAAATTGGATACCTCTATGGTCTGAATGTTTGTGCCCTCCCCAAATTCTTATGTTAAACTCCCACCCACCAAAGATGATGGTATTAGGAGGCGGAGCTTTGGGGAGGTGAACAGGTCATGAGAGCAGGACTCTCATGAATGAAATTAATACCCTCATAAAAGACACCCCAGAAAGTGAGCTTGCCCTTTCTACCATGTCAGGCCATAGTGAGAAGATGCCACCTGTAAGTCAAAATGCTGGCCTTCCCCCCACACTGAGTCTCCTGGTGCCTTGATCTTGGGCTTGCCAGCCTCCAGAATTATGGAAAATTCATTTCTATTGTTTACAATCTGCCCAGTCTACGGTATTTTGTTTTAGCAGCCTGCACGGACAAAGACAGATGCTCATACATTTTTCATGATTGAAAGACCTTAAAAGAGTTGGCAACCAGACCTCCGGCTAGATTATCCTCATCAGCAACAGGTGACCAAGAAAGAGATCCTCCTGTTGTGTTATCTACAAGCATCATGGAATAATACCAAAAACAACTTTACAACACCTCAACTATGTGCTTTCCTTTGCTCAGTCAATAGTTGATTTTTGGATCCCATAGATTTACACACTAGTAAGAGGATTACACTTATAAATTGTTTTGATTGTTTATTCAGCCAAGTTAGCTATTAGTTTAGAAGGAAACAAAGACTTACTGTGCAGCCAGACTGCCTGGAGAAAGTATCTGTCCATCATCCTCGCTCCACATGTGCGTTATATTACCAGAGTCACCTAAAGTATCAATAGTTATGGAGGTAAACATTTAACATGTTTGCTTAAAGATTTATATTTTTCCCCAGCATAACCCATCCCAGGTCAAAATAATGAGAAGAAAATGCAGAAATCTTCAGAATCTTTCTCTAAAGAATCTTACAAAAGACATTCATGCTCTATCTGCTGGAAACATTTAGGATATTATAGGAAAGAGATGCCTTCTACTCCAAATCATCCCAATGTCAAGCACATGCATTTTTAATGAATTCTTTCTCCACACAACAAACCACTATATTATTTTACCCGAATGCCTGTATACGTGGGGTCATGGATGAGTCTTGACCAGGCATCCTCAAACTATGGCCCATGGGCCACTTGCGGCCTGCCTAGGACATTTATCCAGCCCATTGGGTGTTTTTTCCGTTGCTGCCTGTCCTGCTTAGCAGCTGACTTGTGCTAGGGCCAGCAGTCCGGCCCTCCAATGGTCTGAGGCACGGTGAACTGGCCCCCTGTTTACAAAGTTTGAGGACCCCTGCTTGACTATCATAACAAAGATTGACTACCACATGATTTGTTAACCAAGTGAAGCCAATTTTAGTCTTATGGGGCACTGGATAGTTTTTGCCTTCAGTTGCCTAGAACGTAGCCTTAGGAAACGTCTGCCATCACTAATTTACATTTTCTATCAGCAGCCACTGATCTCAGTTGAATGCAGCTGTAAATGGAAATTGACTAATGTTAACAGAACTGTTCTGAGTGCTCTCAAATAATATGAAGGTGCAGATTACGGAAGGCAGTCACTAAGTTCTGCTTCTAATGGAAACCACAGGCAAAAATCTAATACAACAACTCAAGTTGTTCCTACTAGTTAAATATATCTCTGATTCAGTCTGGTGCATAAGGTTGTATCATGAAAGAGTAAGTGTGCAACCTCATTCATGTGAAAAACTGAAAATGAAAGTGTTTTAAGTGGCCACTGCAGAAATAAAAACACTATATAAATCCATTGCTTTCATTTAGCTCCTTAAAGGAAATGATACATTTATCTGCGTCTTCTCTGCAGATTTCACTCATTCCTTCTGAATAATCCAGTACACCTCACCTCAACGGTGTCATTTTAAACATTGACCTGATTTCTGTTAAGGGGGTATTTTATCACTGGTCTTAATAGTTTTCCTCTTGTCTCTAGTTAGTGGATTCTAAAGCCTTTTTAAAAGGTCCTTGCAAAAACTATGCAATTATCTATGTTTTTCTGATACTGATTGTTTAGTTTATTTAAACTGGCATGTGCGTATAAAGGACTACCCAGATTTGAAACTTCCTTGTCTATCTCCTGTATCATTCCAGTTTAAGCAGTGTTTGTACGGCCCCTGGAAACTGGTGGAGTGGCTTTTTCAGTTTTCCTGTTCAGCGGAGTGGAGTTCTCCTGTGCTCTGCTTAAGGTGCAGCTGAATGTTATTGCTGTCACGATAGCAATGCATCAGCGGGTAAAAGGGCCAAGAATGAAGAGGCCCAGAATAAAAAAATCTCAGTCTTAATAGTAATACCTATTATTTATTGGCTTCTGTATATAGAATAACCAAAAATAGAAATCTGTTGAGATTTATGCTTCTGCAATGTAAAAATATATAAACCTGTTTTTCCAAGATCAAATCTTGACTTTTCTTTTTGCAGCTTTTTGGCTGGGGCAGGGTTTCAACCCACCACCTCCTATATATGGGGCCGGGACCCTACTCCTTGCTTATTTTTTTTAAGGTGGTCTTCTGATATTTATTTGTTTGTTTTTATTAAATTATAACTGTGTACAATGATGCATTTATGGGGTTCAGTGTACTGATTTGATATACAATGTAAAATGCTTACATTGAACTGATTAACATATCCATCACAATTACACTCTTTCCTTAATAGATTTGAAATGTACCATTGCTTCATGCACATTAGGGAGGTCTTCCCAAATATCCTCCCTCCTCTTACCTCCCTTCTCTCTCCTCTTCCCTTCTACTTTCAGGACTATAGTTAAGTTATGAATGTGTAGGTAATTATATATTGATTTCATAGTAGTACTGAGTACATTGGATACTTTTTCTTCCATTCTTGAGATACTTTACTAAGAAGAATATGCTCCAGCTCCATCCAGGCAAACATAAAAGATGTGAAGTCTCCATCTTTCTTTTTTCTTTTCAGTTTTTGGCTAGGATTGGGTTTGAACCCACCACCTCTGGTATATGGGGCTGGCATCCTACTCCTTTGAGCCACAGGCACCACCCAGTCTCCATCTTTTTTATGGCTGCATAGTATTCCGTGGTGTACATATACCACAATTTGTTAGTCCATTCATGGGTCGATGGGCACTCAGGTTGTTTCCATGCCTTGGAAATTATGAATCTTGCTCATTTTTAACTCCCATGTGATGCTGAGCAAGTTCATTGGCACTTGTATACTAAATGGCTACAGAATTTCTCTTTTTCATCAAGCTTTTAAAATACGTAACTAACAGAAAATTAACTTTATACTGTCAATGACAGACCTGACCCTGAAGTTAAATAGGGATTTTTTCCTCTAGACACTGAGAACTATCAAGTATCTTGAAAGAAATACTATACTCAACAGGTCTTTATGAAGTGGAAAAAGATTTAAAAAGTGAAATCTTACTTCTTTTTCCTTTGTAGGATTGGGCATGTTTAAAATTAGTGCCCTGAGATGTAGAAAGAAATATTATCCAGAGATAATCTCTTCTCATCAAAAAGGATTGCTTTCTATGTAAAAGCATAATTTCATATAATTTACTACTTTGCAAAGGAGCAAATTCCCATGAGTCACAAAGGTAATCTCTGCTCTCCAAACTCAGCATTTATAAATGGAAATACTGAAGCTTATTAACTGGGTAGCAGGGATCCTAGCTGGGACACAGCTGAGAATTAGATCCCCTAAGATAGGAAGTGAGAAGACAACCTTATTTTCAAGTGTTAATTAGCATCTTCTAATGTCACAGCTGCCGAGAAGGTTTCTGAAGAAATCTTGAAGTGTACTCATAATTCAGGTTGGAGCAGAGATCCAATCAGGTGAGGGAGGGGTGTGGAAATCAGAGAGTGGAGAGGAATGAGGCATGGCTCTGAAATAAGGCTCACGTGGGAAGGAGTAGGGCGTGAGAAGCCGAACTCTGAGTGGGCCCAGGTTTGAGGTCAAGCAGATACTTGCATGTCCCAGTGATATGCCCTAGAAGCAGGGTATGTATGTCCCAGAAAAAATGTAAGTGAGGCCATCCATAAAAGAGCTCAAGGGACTCAACTTTGGGGACAGACAGATCCAGGTTCTAATCTCAGTTTAGAAACTTCCTGAATGTGTAGCATAGGCAAAGTGCCCAGCCCCCTCATGCCTCAGTCTCTGTCTCTGCAAATAGGATAATAATTTTATCTTGTAGAATAATTTTGGATATAAAAGGAATTTAAGATAATAAAGCACTCAGGGTTGACACATGAAACACTACCTATTATTTTCCTTATTTTTAAGAGAGTGTGAGACCCACAAAGCTATCTTCACCCCATGAGACATTAGAGAGGTCCCAAGCAACTTTGCTATGAGACACTACCCCGTCCCAGCATAATAGAGTGGAAAATCAGGGGAGAAAGTATGATATTCTCTTCTAAAATACTTCTGAACACCATGAGGAGTAAGCAGGGTGTAGCCTGGCCATGGGTCAGGTGTCTGCACTTGCGGCCACAGACTACTGCACTGTTGAACTAGAGTCAGTAGTCTAGCCTTCAATGACAAGTGTGAGCTCCTTGCAAGATTCCCAGAAATAACCAGGAGGATTTTCAAAGGCTATAAAATTTCTGCTCAAGCAGGTAGAGGTTTGGGTTTACTGATGTTTAGGAACTGAAGTTAATGCATTTACATTGGTTTCTCCCGTCTTATGAAATCACAAGCTCATTAAATATAAAAACAAATAAAAGTTAAATTTTACACATCAAAATCATTTCCTTGATGTATTCCCTTGTCATCTTGACTCCCCAGACATGTTTTAATACTTGTCAAAATCATTAGCACATTCACAGACCTAAGACATGGCCATTGTTAAATATTGAAGATGACTGAATTACATTGTTCACCAAGAAAAGTATTTTGCTGCCTAGTTACTAAGGAGCTTACTTCCCCAGCTTCTAAGGCACTGGTGAGCTTTTGTCTTTTGTTAAAAAAAAAATTAACTTTATCACTTTATATTAATTATAAGGTGTGAGTCTCAAGATGAAAAGGAAAAGGATGGTAAGGAGACGTGTGAAGTTCTCAAGTCTTTAGAATGCAAATATAAAAAGAAGACAGAGGAAGCAATTAGTGTTTGTTAGTGCACTGTCTGGTCTCATCGCCTGGACTTTTTTTTTCTTTTTTTTAAGCATAGGCCTATTTTTCTACTGTATGTCAAGATTATTAAATTTAACAACAGGAAAGACTTCCAACTCAGGTCTTTCCCTTTGCCAGTAGCTCTGGTGCATTTTACTCCTTCTGTATCCCTTTTTGTCTAATAAAACCCTAAAATAAATAAATAAATTTAACAACAGTCCATCTTCAAACTAATCATTACTTAGTTCTGTAATTATAGATACAAAAAATGCTTATATTAACCATTGCGATGTAAGCGTTCCTAATTCTAGACGAAATCAGCACACTGTACCCCATAAATGCATTAATGTAGACATGATCTAGGTGTTTGTGATTTAATAAAAAAAAAGCTACAGACTAACAGATACTAGGACCCAAGAGCATGTTGGACACTGCAGTGAGAATTCTTCAAAGCCTCCACAAAGGTGCTTTTCATATGAAAATTTATGTTTTAAGACAGTATAATGAATAATCCACCGCCTTTTGACCTGATGTTTTCAGGAAAACAATATAGTGAATAATCCATCGCCTTTTGACCTGATGTTTTCGGGACACTTACTTTCTAATCCAAAGGTACAACTTTGCTTACTTAAAAGGTGACAAACTCACTGAAGAAAGCATCACTGTAAATTCATTCAGGTAGAGGTCAATGTTAACCAAACATTTCACTTGGCAAGTAGGAGTCATTCCTTACATCCCCAAACCTCTCTTGCTTCTGTGTATATATATATATACCTTGTGTTCCTACGTCCGTGGTAAATAATGCTATTCTGTACATGCCAAGGGGGCGTCTTCTGACTCATTAACTACCTGGTATACCTTGTCTTACTAGGACGACCGTGGACTTACACCGATCTACTCATGTGCTGAAGTCCATCATGCCTTTTCAAGACGGGTGATTGAGGGGTATATTTTTATCAACGAAAGATTCCTCTTGATTAAAAATCAAAATGTAGGAATAAAGGCAAAACTCCACATGTTGGCTTAGACTGTTGTTCCAAAAAGAAGTGGTAGAAACATATTTATTGAGGGTTATTCCCCAATATTTATTTTCCACACCAAGCATAAACATAGTTTTACAAGCCAAGAGAGATCATTTTCACCTAAATGAAACCCCTAGAAAGTCGTACTTCGCTCTTTTGGCCCATTCTCCCTTTCTCCACACTTTGATTAGCCAGAGATCCAGATTTATTTGTAGCATCTGTCCTTGCCTGAGAGTAATATCATCTCTACGTGATTACTTCCGCTGCACTCTGCTTTATGTTTCCAGTGGGCTTTGTGACACTGAATTTAATACAGTAAGATGGAAATATAATACCTGGAGCTGGGGAGTCCAGAGTGTACAGCAGATGTTTAACAGACTTCTGGAGGGTTCTGAAACCTTCGTTAGTTGCGACACGTGGATAAACCTTCTGTACCACCAGCAGCGCACTAAGGAGTCGAGAAACAATTAAATCAGATTGTGTGTTCAGGGTTTGCGGATAGAAACTAAAGGTTATTCAAGGAGAAAGTGGCTGTGGCATAGAAAATTATTTTTATAACATAAAAGACAAGGTGTTGTTTTTGTAGTTTAATTACTTCTTTGTCTGTTCATGTACAAAATCCCAACAAAGTGTTCTTAAACCAGGACAGGGCACTTTTCAGTTTTCAGGCTTCCAAAAGCTCAGGACTCACAGGGCTTAACTAACAGAGCAAAGTTCACATCAAGTTTTTCTATGACTTATGGATAAGTGGTCAGGGAAAGCAACTTTCAATTAAAGGATACTTCTTTTTTATCAATTAAAGGGGAAAATTAAATATTTGACGTTATTTTCATTAAAAATCAAACCCAAATAAAGAATCCAGTTTCAGAAATAATTGTTAGGTAAGCATTTGATAAATATTTATCTTTTGCTGAACAAATGGTGATTTTGTAGGAAAAAAAATGGAGCTTGCCCTAATTAAAGACAATTCTATTTTTAAAGTAGCCCATAGGCACTACTCCAAAGGTAGTTCAAAATTAATATGTATATTAATTGATACTGTCTTTACAAAACTTTTTTTTTTAAAGAGATGGGATCTTGTTATGTTGCCCAGGCTGGCCATATCTTCAAATGATCCTCCTACCTTGGCCTCCCAAAGTGCCAGAATTACAGACATGAACCACTGAGCCTGAGTACTATAGATTTTATGTTAATATTATGATGGGCCATTTATACTGGGATAAACAATCAGAAAATTAATTTTTGGTTAACATCCTTGTATAACACCAAAAAAGAACTAGTTAATTAGGAAATATCTTTTACTCCCCTTACAGTCAGTATATTTTTAAAGAAACATTGCAATTGCACAAATACGTCTGAATTTCATAAACACTGTTGTGATTTATACACAACCACAGCTGAGTCAATGCTTTAGTTCATCTTAGCAACAAAAGCTTTTGTTAACAATTTCCTATTGTGAAGTTCAACACAGTGATGCTTCTCCAGCAATAGACATAGGATATGTGTATACTTTCATGGTTTTCTATACCGTATGTGTTTTTTCTATACCCTCCTTGACTTTTGAGACTGCTTATTTCTGCTAATTTGTTTCATAACCTTAACAATAACCTTAACAGTCGATTTTGGTGGCTACAACTTAAGAAAAGTTGCTGGAGGAAATAATGAATGTTTCTATGGGTTGAAAGACTTAAAATACCATTGAGACCAAAATTTCATGATAAAATATAGTCATTTGTGAGGAAATTATGACTTCTAATGATACTGTCGGCTTAAGCATAATAAGGATAATAAACAGCTCCTTTGAAAGATGGTATATAAAGGCCTCTCTCAGAGAAATGCAACGCAAGCCACATGTTTAATTTAGAGTTTAGCAGTCACATTAAAAAATTTAAAAAGAAACAGATGAAATTCACTTTAATAATGTATTTTATTTAAGCTAACACATCCAAAATATTATCATTTTAGCATTTAAGTGATATAAAACTACTAATTAATTATTTTGTCTGTTGTATATACCATACTAAATCTTTGAACTTATGAGGCATTTCAATGCAGATGCTAAATTTTAGTTGAAAATTCATAATCTCTCTATATATTTTATTATATTTACAAGTGAAAAAGTAGATTCATATACCCAGGTGGTTCCAAATATACTACAAAAGGTTTTCCAAGAACTGAACCAGCTATTACTTTTTAAATTTAAGTTAATTAAAGTTGAATAAAGTTAAACATTCAATTCTTCAGTCACATTAGCACATTTAAAGTGCCCCCAAACCATATTAAGTAAGGGCCACCCTGTTAGAAAGATCAAGCATATAAATTAGTGATAATATACTGGACCACTGGAAAAAAAGAGTTATTCAACTTAGATAAAAGTCAAATGCTCCTCTGCTATAAAGGCAAGCTACATGATAATAGGAGAAAATATTCATAAACCATATATCTGGTAAAGAGTTAATTTTCAAAACATATAAAGAACTTCTCCAGCATAATAGCAAAAAATAAAAACAAACACAACAACCCAACTTAAAAATGGGCTGAAGGCTTGACTAGACATTTCTCCTGAGCAGATGTATACACAGTGAACGGATATTTGACGTATATAATTATTATCACTAACTATTAAGGAAATGCAAATCAGGCCCACAATATGATCTTACACTTGTCAAGATAAATATTACTGAATAAACAAAAGACAAGTGTTGGCAGGGATATGGAAAAATCAGAACCCTCGCACACCATGAGCAGGAGTATAAAATGGTAGCGCCCCTATGGAAAACAGTATGGAAGTTCATTCAAAATTGAAAACTAGATCTACCATATGACCCGCCAATCCCATTGCTGGGTAGGGTTCTCAAGAATGTGGCAGCACTGCCGTTCAGTGCTATTCACAACAGCCAAGACGCGCAAACAAACTAAATGTCCATACCAGAGGAATGAATAAAGAAAATGACATACATTCCATAGAATACTATGCAGTTTTTTAAAAGGAGATTTTGCAACATGCAGCTGCCTGGATGAAATGTGAGGACATCATGCTATCACTGAAGCCAGTCACAGAAAGAAAAATACTACCGAATTCCACATATGTGAGGTGTCTAAAATAGTTAAATTTATAGAATCAAAGGGTTGAATGGTGATTTCCAGGGACTGAGAGGAAAGGAAGATGAGAACTGCTAATCAACAGGCATGAAGTTTCAGTTAATCTAGAGGAATAAACTCTGGAGAGCTGCTGTAACATTGTATCTGTGGTTACCTTCAACATTTGTTAAGGTGGTAGATCCCCATGTTAAATGTTCTTCCAATAGCAAAATCTTTTTCAACCAAATGTTGAAAGTTACTTACTTCATAATAATTTGAAGCTGGAAGCTTTTTTTTTTTTTAACTGACATATAATTGTACAAACTTATAGGGTAAAGGGTAGTGGGATGTTTTGAAAATGTGTACAAAACATAATGATCAAATTAGTGGACTTAGCAAATCCATAACCTCCAACATTTTATACAGCACATCATTTTTAACTATAATCATTCAACTGTGCAATGGGAGCACTAGCATGTATTCCTCCTATTTAACTGTTACTTTCTAGCCCCGACCAACTGTCCCCAACCTCACCTTCCCCCCTCCTCAGCTTCTGATTACCACATTCTTGTCTTTACTTTTATGATATCAACTTTTTTTTTTTTTTTTTTTAGATAGAGTCTCATTCTGTTTCTCAGACTAATGTGCCCTGGAATCAGCTTTGCTCACAGCAACCTAAACTCCCAGGCTTAAGTGATCCTCCTGCCTCAGCCTCCAGAGTAGCTGGGACTACAGGTGCCCACCGTAACATTAGCTAATATTTCTATTTTTAGTAGAGAGGGGTCTTGCTCCTTCTAAGGCTGGTCTTGAACCCCCAAGCTGAAGCAACCCTCCTGCCTTCACCTCCCAGAGTGCCAGGGTTACAGGCGTCAGCCATCATGGCTGGCCCGACATCAACCTTTTTAGATTCCCAGGGAGAGTGAGATCATGCAGCCTTTGTCTTTCTGTACCTGGTTATTTTTAATTTTTTTGAGGAAACTCCACACTGTTTTCTAGAATGTCTATACTACTTTACATTCCCACCAACAGTGTTTGGGAGTTCTCCTTTCTCTGCGTCCTCACCAGCGACTGTTGTTTTTTTGTCTTTTTGATAATAGCAGTTCTGAGGTTCGATGATACTTCATTGTGGTTTGAGATTTGCAATTTTCCCTGATGATTAGCGATGTTGATCATTTTTTAATATATTTGTTGGCTATTTGCTTGTCTTATTTTGAGAAATATCTATTCAGATCTTTGCCCATTTTTAAATTGGATTCTTTGTTTTTTGCTATTGAATTGCCTGAATTGAAGCTATTTCTCTGTAAGTTGTTTTCATTATTCTGTAGACTGCTTTACATTTATAATCATTACTTGGCATTATGCTCTATTACATAATGCTAAGATATGCAATAATTTTAAATTTCAAGGGAATTAACATAGCCACAGAACAATAATTCACTACACCAAAATAACACCTACTCTGTTTTGTTGATTTCTACCTCCTAGTGAATATTATGCTGTGGAATTTGGGGGTTTTACTTATTTCTTGTTTTTTTAATAAAATTTACATGCAATAAGATATATCTATTTTAGGCATGCCAATTTAATGAGTTTTTTAAATTGTAAATTGACAATTTATGATTGTATAAGTTTATGGGGTGTGAGTGATGAGTCTTGACCATCACAATGCAACAATTATGTAACCAATGCAACAGTTAAGATAGAAAACATTTCAATCACCCCAAGAAAGTCTCTTCATGTTTCCAGCTGTTACCCCAGAATCCATTCTGATTTCTAATAGTATAAACTTAATATTATCAATTCTAGAAATTCCTATATGTGCAATAGTAAGATATCAATCTATTCAGTATGGTTTTTTTTGGGGGGGGCAGGAATTAGATTCTTTTGCCAACATAATACTAATGAAGTTTATGCATGTAGATGTGTGCCTCAATAATGTACTTCTGTTAATTATTGAGTAGAATTTCAATGTCTGAATAACCCTCGGTTTGTTTAACTATTCTATTTACAGGTATTAGTTTCCTCCCTCAACTTTTGCATATTAGTATGAATAAATAACCATTGGCACACAAGTCTTTGTGAGGGCATGTGTTTTTATCTTCTTGGGTAAATATCCACGAGTAAAATGATTCCATGGATCTACTATTTAACTTCATGAGAAGCTGTTACACTGTTTTCAAAGTGACTATATTATTTTCCACTCCAGCTTGTCTTGTGTGAGAGCTTCATTCAGTTGTTCCACCTTCTAGCCGACACTTGGTCTTATTCATCTTTTAAAATTTTATTCATTCTAGTGAGTTTGTAGTGATACCTTATTTGTGGCCTGATTTTTACTTTGACGCTTTTCGTTGCTACACTATCCAATTCCTATTATTCCCTTTCTCCTATAATCGGTGCACCTGCTTTCTGTCTAAGACAGAATATAACTAGGAGTTGGTCAGCAGGCTGGGAAGACAGTAAGTGCTCCTGCATCAATCACAACCTGACTCTGGTCATCTGTCCCAATGACAACATTCCCTGTGGCTCTCAGCGCAGGAGACACAATTGGCAGCTCCCCAAAGCTTCACAAGTTGGGTACAACTCCTATTTTCACAAGCATTTCATCTGTTCATTCGGACCATCAGTAAGGTAGGAAAAAGCCCAGCTAGTATCTGCTAATACTCCTGGAGCATCATGGCACAGGAGACTCACTAAAGTAGGAAGAGTCTCTCCATAGCATCTAATGGGGGGTGCGGGATTCTTGTTGTGACAAAGGTTTCAAAGTGTCCAGGGAAGATTACCTAAGTGACCACATGATAAAGATGACATATCAGGAATAGCTAGAAGAGCCAACAGTGGGTCAGCTGCACCACACTTACTAACCAAGTCTCGGAAAACTCAACCGTCACCTGCAATGTTTCCTAACGCCCACACAGCCAATCTGACGACCACCCCCCAACTAACATTCAAAAGGAAGCTACATGGATGATGTCAAACATCACAGCTGGCCATCAGGACCAGTGAACTGTGAATCATGGCCTGGTCCGATTACTTGTTGGAGTTCTCTTGAAGGCAGACTTTAAGACACAAGAGGAAGCTGTACAGGCTGTGACCAACTATACAAGTGGTGGAACAGTAGAACAGATCATATACCTCATTCACTGTGGCATAATAGAACTGTCAATGAACCTCTTAACTGCGAAAGATACCGAAATTACTCTGGTTATTCTGGATGCCATTTCAAATATCTTTCAGGCTGCTGAGAAACTAGGTGAAACTGAGAAACTTAGTATAAGGATTGAAGAATGTGGAGGTTTAGACAAAAGTGAAGCTCTACAAAGCATGAGAACGAGTCTGTGTACCAGGCTTCATCAAACTTGATTGAGTAGTATTTCTCTGTAGAGGAAGAGGATCAACATGTAGTACCAGAAACTACCTCTGAAGGCTGCACCTTCCAAGTTCAGGATGGGACTCCTGGGACTTTTAACTTCTAGATTGCATAGCTGAGGCACAAAGTTGTTGTGTACTGCATTTGGTATAAGTAGATTGGTTTGTCTTACTATTTCTCTACTAAGAACTCTTTAAAATAAAAAAGAATATAAGTCAGAGGAAGAAGAGCAAGTCTTAATTAAAATTCGGGGTGAGTGAAAATTTCCCGAAGAGGTAAAATAGGGACGAATGTAAGTTATCAGACTTCCTAACGTCTTTCTCCATCTGCACTTCAGTGAAGAGTGCTCTTGTAGGCAGAGCACCCATGTGGGTTCTGATTCTTTGAGTTCAGTTACTGGGTTTGCCACTCCTCATTGTAGAACCTTGGGGACATCATTTGACCTCTGTGAGGGCTGTTGCCACTGCTGTAAAATGGGCATCTATTATATCTATCTCAGACTGCTATCATAAGAATCAAATAGATTATATTAGTATGTCAATACAAGGGCTTATTATAAGGTCTTTGAATAGGCATAAGCTCTTACTAGCATTCTAAGAGTAAGAACAACCTTTTTTACTGCTTTAAACATCTGAAATAGAACCAGGTTACTTAAGAGCTATTAGAGAGGCAGCCTGGGTTCTGGAGTTGGGAAATCCAGTCTTGAATCCTGCTAACTGCACAATCAACAAATATTTAATTTTTATGACCCTCTGTTGCTTTGTTTATAAAATAAATAATGTTTGTTGTAAGATCCAATGGTATATAGAAACAGCCCAGTGAAGTGTCTGGCATGTAATAGGCACTTAACAATTGATACCTGCTGATGTGGTAATTGTTTTCTTTAACACACATTTTCAAATTGTTATAGCTAAACAGGACAGTCAAAACCTGGGTACTGTCCATTAAACTCTGAACACTGGCCATGCCCAAATCTCTTTTATTTAAAAAAGCTGCTTTTTCAAGCAGTTTTCTATAAGTGTTTTTAAAAATCTTTTGCCATATATGCCAGACAAAGCCAACCCACTCTGTGGGCTTAGAAAGGTTGTTGATAAGCCAGCTGGGCACAAGAGAGGCCAGCTTCCTTGAGGTGTGTTGGAATAAAATTCTAATCTATAGTGTTCTTTTATAATAGATGGTACCAAACAGAACACACAGAGGTCTATTACTCTTCAGTAGTTTAAATGCCGGCTGCAGAGCGCTCAGGTTGTCCCTGAGTAAGCCGGAGCCACTGTTGTGATCCACACTGGTCCTGCTGTCTGCCTCATTCCAGAAGCGTGGGGATACTGAGCAGTGATGCCGCTGACGGGATTAGTGTTCCTCCTTGCTTCCTCACTGATGCTTCAATAACCCTGATAACCACAGTGTGTGTTTCTTCTTTACTAAACAAATACACTTACCTGCATTGCTCAAATCTACACTAGGGTGCTGAACGATTGTTTGCTACGTGTTTAAATAACCTGCCTAGCAGTGATCCTCACAGGTAACAACAGCAGCAACAAAAAGACTTTTCTGTGAACAATAATATTCCATCTAATTCCTACATCTTCTTACCTGTTTGCCTTTCGAAGAACATCAAATAGATTGCTTAGTGATACATTATTCTGAAACACATCTGGAAAGCTGGAGAGAAGCTGCCACACAGCTCGCTGCTCTTGCACTTGGGAGAAGAAGGACAACGCTCTGACCATTTCTTGAAACACTATCTTCTGATTGTTGGGGTCACTTGATATCTTATAAAACAAAACCACGGAGGGAAGAAAGACTTTAACACTTGTAACCACATGGCTTACTGTCCTTGAAAGCCTCAAAGATCTAGACTTTGACATAGATGGTCAGTTTGAAGCCATCTTTTACTGGGAAAACACTGCAACCATTTCTAATGTTCTTCAACATAATTGGGTTTGCCACTATCGTGCCAGAAATTGACATATTTATGTTTGGTTAACAAAGTTAAAATTATATATTTGTGAATTAAAAGTAATTTCCCAAAATAAAATTAGCTCTGAGTAAAGTTTATCTTTGTTTTTTTAGGACCTGGTTTAGGAGCTACAGACACATCTTCCCTATATTTACTACTAGACCTTGTATTGTTTGAGTGGAGTACCCTTGAAAGTAATATATAGATGAAGATATAGAGACTGATATCAATATATTCATAATTTATATGCATATATGTGTTTAGGAAAATGCTTTCCATTACATATACTTAGTGCAATAAAATATTTTCAAAGATCTAATGCAATACCAGGAACTTTAGTCATAATCAATGATTTATAGTGAGTGAACCTGTGTAATAATAACACCCTGTACTACACACAAACAAAAACTGTGATTTTTGCTCTCAATTTGGATCATAGGACCCAGCTAGTACTTCCAGAGGTGAAGTATTTTCTTTATTATATTTCCATCCAAAGAAATTTTCTTAATAAGCTCATTTATGCTAGCAAAGTTAAGCTTTTGATTTGGCTTGATTCATGGTCTGAGAATGTGATTTTTGAACATAGAGTCTACTCTACATGACTGACAAGTTTGTTAAGAAAGAATTGTTAAGAGCTTTCCGTTGGATTGGGGTTATGGTAATAGTGTTTCAAATTGAATTTTGTTGGAAAATAGATTACTACAGGGATATTTAAGAATTTTGTTAGAATTTTAAATATAAGTTATTATACTTTAAATAAGTTATTATACTTATAATAAAATTCAGAGAATCAAGGGGAAAACATGAGAAGTGGATATGTTTTATTTATGCTGGTCTATAAAATTTCAAGGAAGTTCTGAATACTTTTTGTGATTTTTCATTGTATGTGGGATTTCATTAAATGTAGATTGTTAGTGTTTTATTTTCACAATTATCACTTAAGACTAGCATATGCAAATAGTTATTAGCACTCCATAGTAAAATGTTCTTGCTTTTAATGTGTAACACTTTGGGGAGAAAGATACATTGTTTCATCAAAATTTAGCTTTTCAAACTAGATTTGAGGTCAATAAGTATGGAGAAAGACATTACCTATTATTCTTACTTCTGATAGTTTTATGGCTCTAAGAGTTTAATTATTAAACTTGTATTACATCCTCAGTAATCTCACTTAAGGATCTCAAACAGTTACTCTTCATTCAGCATACAGCAAAGCCATATTTCATCTACAAAGATGTATCTACATTACCCATAATGCAATATTTTTGGTTCAGTATTGAAGTCACCCCCATTCTTCACATTTAAATAACTGAACTTAAGATTAAACATTGTGTCCAAATGTGAGGAAAACATGCCACAGGTGGGCAAATGTCCCAGCCAGCACTGCCCAGTCCACCTGGGCCGCACATTTGCTCTTTGACTTATGTTCAATCACTATGAGGCCCCATGAACAGAAATAGTACCTTCCTTATATTGTTGATGAGATCTTGATTATATTAATAGATCTACACTCACCTGAGAGAACTGCTTTTTTAGTTCTTGGAGAGAAGACTCTAGAAGAGTCATGTTGGAAAGGCAGAATTTGTTTAAAACATTTTTTCCTAGAGTGGTCCAAGAGAAGGCGTAGTCTGCGACGTACCCGGGATGGCTCTCACACAGCTCTCTTCGTATATCTTCTGAAGTTGAATTTTGCTCTAATAGCTAAAAACGTGTGAAAACAGTGAAATAATAATGTTAATAAATGTAGATGTTAAATTATTCTAGTCTTCCAGCAAACTGGCCTGTCTTCACAATAGCTATTTTAAGGTCCTCCATTATAGCAACTATTAAAATAACCACAAAGTGCATTGCGTTTACCTGTGAGAACCTGCAGAGAGAACATGGGAATGTGGTTTAGGTATTTATAGAGCCAATTATATTTAGTTCTCATCATTGTTATTATTTAAAAGATTTACATGTGTTGTTTAACTCAACTCATTTCCTGTTTCTGATCAAAAAACCTAAATGGACCAGGTCTTTTCTGATAAAAATCTTCATGCCAAAAAACGTTATTCCTTTTTTTCTGGACATTGGGAAGCAAAGACTCAGGGGTCCTAACTCTTTCTAACACGTCATTGGAAGCTGGTTGTGATCTTCCATAAAAAAGGAGCTTCAAGGTCAAAGAGCCAACAGTGTTTATTCACAGAAGCGGAAACATGGATTAAGTTTTAGTTGGAAAACAATTCTTCCATTTAAGTCATACATACAGAAAGAAAAAAGGAAAACATATATGAAAGTATGGAAAAGCAAGCATAACTACTAAAATCAATTATTGGAAATCATTTTCATAAAGGAATCGTTATAATCACCCAGTATATTTTATAGCTCACATTCTTCACAGATATAGCATTATTTTCATCTATAATATTAATTGCATTTGCTTAGGTATTTGCAGAGCCAATTATATTTAGTTGTCATACTTATGGGGTCCCTCTTAATAATTAATTCTTACAACCCTGTCAAGGGAGGCCAGATTCACCCTCCCCTTCAGTTTATATCACAAAATCTACACTCTACCTTCCAGTGACTCAACTTGTAAGTATGACAGAACAAGACGGGATCCACTTATCCTGGATGTACTGTAAATGCTAGATCTTCTAGTCATCCATCCGTATCTCTGTTCTAACAGTACACATAAACTCGCCCCAAATGATTTCTCGACTTGTTCTTGCAAGGGTTGCAAAAAGCAGTAAAGAGAAAGAAAGAGGACCCAGAGAGAGTGCTGACACAGGCATCAATGTGTCATCCTAATTTTTACAGCCCTTTCCTACTCCAGTTTCTCTAAAAATATGTATCCATACATAGAAGATTCATTTTTGGCTTATCTCCCCTGGATGTATAGCTCTGTGTGCTGCCTCACAAAATTCTAAAATTTTATTCCATGTAAGAAAGAGAACTTCAGCATTTCCATACAATATTGCTTTGCTGTTCTAGATATTAGATAATTTGTGCGATCCAGTGCAAGACTGTCTGCTTCTAGGACCCAATATGGAAGCTAGAGAATGGAAGAGAATCACTTTCCCTGGTTTGCACACTGGCCTGACTGGAGGAGGCTTTAGACTGGAATTAACTAGGTCTATTGGGGTATTTCTATGCCAGACAGGGAGTTTTACAGACCTCCAATAGTACATGAACTAGCCTTTCAATGTCTCGACTGGCCTCAATGGGAAAGTCTGTAGCCAGCAAGGCCAGAGTTGTTGCCTTGATGAGTGTGGTGCCTTTTCCCGGTGTCCATTTTTGTGTTGTCCTTTGGCTTATTTACACAATCAAGTTTATTCAGATGCTCAGTTATACAGAATGGCAATTCAACAGTAGTTAACAAAGACTTACTAAAAAGCAGTGCTTACAGTTTCCAGAATGTGAATTAAGGTCAGAGACATGTCTGGTGATTCAGAGGGAAGAAATGTCTACTATGTGAAACATGGATAAATTATTCAGAAGGCTTGTGGTGTGTGTGTGTGTGTGTGTGTGTGTGTGTGTGTGCATGTGTGACTGCGAGGGGAAGGGAGGGAGAAAAGAAGGGAGGAAGGGGGGGAGAGAGTGAAGAAGAAAATAGTCTCTATAATGTAAAGCAGGAGGCCTCAAACTTTTTAAACAGGGGGCCAGTTCACTGTCCCTCAGACCGTTGGAGGGCCAGACTGCAGGCCCTAGGACGAGGTGGCTGCTAAGCAGGACAGGCAGTGGCGGCAAAAACACTCGGCTGGCCGGATAAATGTCCTAGCCGGGCTGCATGTGGCCTGAGGGCCATAGTTTGAGGAGGCCTGATGTAAAGTGTCAAAAATGGTCTCTTTATTTCTGAAGAGCACATAAAACAGGACTGAAATTCCTGTGGGACCAGCCAATGAACTTAAAGGTGGGAATCTGGGGCGTAAAAGACAATAAGGAGAAGTGGGCATTGGACTTACAAAAAGCACCTGTTCTGCCTAAAGGCATTCAAATGCAATTTCTTACAGTCCCTGCACAAGCCCCCACGCGCGTGCACACACACACACACACACACACACACACTTAACTCACAGGCTGCCAGTTCACAGTGCTAAGAGAAATTATGTTTATCATCTTGCAGTCTGAGAAACCCTGAAGTGGGTGATCACCAGGAAGCAGAGAAATCCATGGGTAAGAGCTCTGAAAGGTGCTGAGGAAAAGGACTTCCTTCCTTGGAGGCACCATTTTCCCCAGCTCTAATTTTCCCAAGGACGTGATTAGTATGGATGAGGCAGCAAGAGGGTTACAGCTTCAGCTGGTCTTTTTTTTCTTCCTTGCTTCAGAAAATTAAAAGATTACATATAATGCCACCCTATTTCTTACTAAATAAAAACCTTAAGTTCAATTAAGGGACTTAACAAGGAAGTAAATACTCAAGACCTTAAGGAATTTAGAATGTCTTAGCATTTAAGCTGTTTATTGAAGAGCTCCTATAAAAGGCCTCCACCGGAGAGAATACTCTAGCAGGAAAGGTGCTTCAAAGGTCTTCTTATTGGGGAGGTTTTTCCACTAATCGAAGGCATTTTTTCAACGGCTTTTTATTATCTATCCATTACCTTTTCCAATCCAAGGATTCGTGCAAGCACTTGAGTGCCATTGAAAATATCTCTTCCAATACTTTCCCAATCAGGACTTGGACTGGGAAATACTGTGGCTGTAGAGGAAGAAAGAACAGCTTAGCATTCTAAACACACAATGAAAAGAGGCACAATCACATGAGAATGCATAAATGTCACTGCGTGTATCCCACAGCAAAAATGTCTCAAATATGCCCCTTCCATGAAAGTTTCATGCTGAAAAAAAATAGCAGATTCCATGGTTTTTCTCTTTTCCTATGAAATCGTGATGGTTTTGGTCTGCTCTGGGTTTTTTCCCAGTCCTTTAGATGTCATTTGCTTTCATTCCAGTTTGTGTTATTAAACTTCATCACCAGTATTATCGCCCAATCAACCGAACCATTTCTGTGTGGGCCTAAAGGATTCACGTTGTCTCCACCGTTCCACAGATCCATCATACCCAACATCTGTTCAAAGGATATGCCAGTGCACATCTGGTGATAATGGTCTTTTAAAAAAAAATTATCCAATTGGGATGCTGAAATCTGCTTAGGATCATAAATTCTCTCCTCCCCAAAGTAGTTTCTGAATGATATTTCAGATCAAATAAATGGGATAAAGCAATTAGCTCAGACTACAATATACTCTAATTAACTAATTCCCAAAGTGGCCCATTACTATTTATGATGTGGTGAACATTTCTGTGTTTGGAGAATTCACTAGAAGAATACATTCCTCTCTGTAGTGTGGACATTCATTAAGCCAGTATGCTGATTTTATAAAGTTTAGACAGATGTCCTCACAGCCAAGAATCTCAGTATTCAAGAATACTGGTAACTCATTGTCCATAGGACCTAGATTTTATATTAGTGCCCATGGGGATAAAGAATTTGCTATCTGATTCCTGGACCCAGGCAATGCATTTGGGAGATGACTGGCCAGGAAGAGAAACATAATCTGTGGGTAGCAAGCAAAGCAAAGCTTACTGGACCATAACATTATGACCTTATTTCTACAGTGCTTTAACCCACTCAGCCAAACACGGGTCATTTACAACAGAACACTAACTCCTCAAAACCGCTCAAACCATGTTCCCACTACATTAAGGAAGATTTTTTTTTTTTACCTTGGTCTATCAACCCCTATTGGAATGCTATTTTGTATCATAGAGTAGTAAATATTACCTAGCATCTTTAAAGATACTCCCTTTTTATCCAGAGCACCAATCACATTTCGACATGCAGGAAGCTTTATTTGTTTGGGCCTTAGGTCAGTGCTTACATGACCTCAGGCATGCAATAAATATTTGCCAAATGGATGTAAAACATCCCTGCCCTTTCAAGAGTCTATTCTCAACTTGTGGCTTCTAATTGGTGCTTTTTAAGTCCATCTGAAACAGAATCACCTGGGCATGAGGCTCAAGGTCCCGTGTTGTTTTAAGGGAGCAACTCAGGAGCTTTCTCTGTCCTGAAAGCCTGAGAGCTACTGGCATAGGTGTGAAACAAGCACACAGTCACACGGAGGACTGTGAGCATTCAGGAAGAAGAAGTGTGGAAGGAAGGGGTGCTGGCCTCCAAGTCCTTCTAATACCAGCTCTGCTCTCTGACTATAGACACAGTACTTAACCTGTGGGGCCTCATATTTCTCATCCATAAAATAGAAAGTCCAGTCAAATCACTGAGATTCATTCCAATAATTTCTATTAATGGTCTTTCTAACCATCCCAGCATCAGTTAATTACAGACAACTGGAGTCCAGTGTCAGCTCTAAAAAACAGTGCAGTTCTCAACACTCCAGTGTCTGCTGCCATTGGGCATTTCAGTAAGGATTTAGTTTCTAATTTTTCTCAACCACTTTACGTAATTGTACCACCTTTCTCAGGCAATTATGAGGAACATTTAGATCGCTTGGGTATACTCTAAGCATTGTACCTTTGCTTGAAAAGTTTAAAGCATAAGCCTTTTAAAGATTAGATCTTTACTCTTCCGAAAGGCTTGTCCTAAACTCTACAGAAGAGAATAGCTTACCCAGTGAGGCATGCCTTCTTTCTGGAGCTTGGGTGCTCTGGAGTGATAAATTGCTGTCCTCCAAGTTAGATGACTTTCTCAGAAGTTCACTAGAGAAGAAAAAGCAAGAACTCTATAACTTTTCCCGCATTAATTTTAGTTAGTTACGGCAATGTATTGTGTGGCAGATTCCAGGACTCTCGGAGGACTCTTCGAATTTTTAATGCACTTTCTAGGATTTTAATGGAAGACTTCACCTAACCATACACCAATGAAGATATAAGGTCTCCTATAAGGTCTATTTTTTATGCAGGGAAAATGGCCTAGATGAGGTTTAATGTAATTATTCTTATTATAATCATGTAAAAAGGAAATGAAAAAGACACATTGGGACCCTAAATATTGAAAGTATTTAGGATTTTCCTTTCTTTCAGAAAGTTGATAGATATGGAATAGATGAAAGTCTAGAGTGCTTTGGGGATTGAAATAAAGATCTGCTCATTTGTCAACATTAAAAGGAAAACAAGTTTTCCATGTTAAATTGTAGATGCATTTTGAATACTTTGTAAGACAGATTCAAGGAAGAAACAAAAGAATAAACATTTATTAAGTATTCAGTATGTGCTGAAACTGTGGCTGGCGTCATTACAGGTGGCACTAGGTAGAAAAGGCATAATATTAAATACACTTTTCAATCGTGTTGAATGCATCAATGCAGTCATAAGCTCATTGAAGAGCCAGGAACCCTGCACAGCAGGATTACATCGGCTTATGGAAGAAAACCTTATCAAAATTGAGTAACTTTCTTTTTAAAAAAATTCACCTCCTGTTTGGTTTATTATTAATATGGAGATAATGACATTTTCAGGCCGGGTACGGTGGCTCACACCTGTAATCCTAGCACTCTGGGAGGCTATGGTGGGAGGATCACTTGAGCTCAGGAATTCAAGACCAGCCTAAGCAAGAGTGACACCATGTCTCTACTAAAAATAGGAAAACTAGCCAGGAGTAGTGGCAGGCACCTAGTCCCGGCTACTTGGAAGGCTGAGACAAGAGGATCACTTGAACCCAGGAGTCTGAGGTTGCTGTGTGCTGTAATGTCAGAGTAACAGAGTGAGCCTCTGTCTCAAAAAAAAAAAAGATAATCACATTTTCTTGAAAACTCGATGTACATATACGTAAGTGCCTAAAACAAATATATATATTTTAAAAATGAAAGCAGTCCAAATGCCTGGTTGCAAATAATTTTCAGAATTCCAAAAATTTAGTTAATTTTGTATAGCTGTATATTTAAAAAATGCTTAATTAAGATACACATAAAAGGTAATGGGAAGCAAGAAATTCTGCTTGCCATTGTGCTTCAATTCGATTTTTGTTTTAGAAACAAGAACAGAATCCTGGTTGCAGCGGACTTTATGATTTATAATTGGAAGAAGAAAAGCAGGTGATATTTGTTTCCATTCCCCAGTGTTTTTCCAATAGTCTCCGTAAAATGTACTGGTTGCTCCCAAAGTTCTGCATTCTTAATGTCTATTTGAATTATTCATAACTCTGGCTGTATTCCCCTAAATCTTTTTCATTCCTTATGCTGACGATTTGGATGGGGAAACTATTCAGATGAAAATAAGAACTGACCTGAAACCTTTTCCCGTCTCTCAGAAAAGAAGTTTGAGAAAGTCTGAGAAAGTCGTGTTTCCTTTTCTTTTCCTCACCATTTTCTGGTGTGGCTTGAAATACTACAAGGAAGACTATTTAATATCAACACGTTTTGAAAATAAAGGGAAAAAGTGCCCTCATAAAAATTTTAAGGACTAAGGACAGCAACGAATTCCGAAAGAATGACAGAGATGAGCCATGAAGGAGCAAGGGAGGACAGACTGAATAATAAATGGTAGGAGAGGAAGAAAAGGGAGAGGCAGCAGGACACTAGGAAGGTGCGCTCGGAGAAGCGAAAGGTGCCCTGGCTCCACAGAGAATGCTGAGAACCCCGAAGTTGCTCCTGTAAATATTGTTTAAACTCCAAGGAAGGATAAGCTCCTTCCCTTCCCAGCAAGCAGCTGGCTCAGCAGCCCTGAGTTTGCCCAGCAGTGAACTGACTGCTCTCGGGGAAGGAAGCAGGGCAGACCTTACCTTCATCAGGACATGCCCATGGCTGCATGGTTGCCCACATCCCTTTAAGTCATCATGGTGTGCCTTTTGGGGGAAGTTAGGGCTTCCTGAAATTTTTTTCCAGGTTTATTTTGCAATTGTGAGGTGCGATGCATGATGGCAAGTGTCTACTCCCATTCATATCAAAACAATTTTCTTTAAACTCTTAAAATGGGCTTGGTGCCTGTAGCACAGGGGTTACGGAGCCAGCCACATACACCAGGGCTGGCAGGTTCAAACCTGGCCCGGGCCAGCTAAAACAACAGTGACAACTGCAACAAAATATAGCCAAGCGTTGTGGCAGGTGCCTGTAGTCCCAGCTACTTGGGAGGCTGAGGCAAGAGAATTGCTCTTAAGCCCAAGAGTTTGAGGTTGTTACGAGCTGTGATGCCATAGCACTCTACTGAGGGTGACATAGTGAGACTCTGTCCCCCAAAAATAAATAAATAAAAATAAAATAAAATCTATTGAAACTCTTAAAATGGAAACTGCAAATAATGTCCAACAGAGAATATTCAGATAAAAAGATGAATTAAAGCTACAAGTTGAAGTACAACCTATTTCCCATAAACAAAAGTACAGAGAGCCTCCACAGCTGACCACGTCCCTACATTGACCACTTCCTTAAGTTGACCTAATTTTCATAGACCAGACATGTACCACATATACTTATCAGTACAGTAGGCGTAGTTCCATATGTTGACCACCTCCATATGTTGGCCAGTTTGCTACAGTCCCTGGGGTGGTCAATTTACAGAGGCTCTATAGTAATTAATATTAACTCCCTATTAAGTTACTAAGAGAAGGCAAGAAGGTAGCAGGTCTTACTGAGTTAAGGGCATTCTCTGAAGTTTCTGATAACAATGATTATGCTTATAGGTAAAACACTATACACTCCTTAGAGTGATGAGTGGGAAACGGTGCCTCTTTCGTTATTTCGGGTGGTGACTTTATCCATACTTATTTTATATGTATCTATTCCCAGAATGTTTCTATTTTGGGCTCTGACATCTTGAGAGCAGGTGCCACGTCTCATTCATCTTTATGTTCCCGGAATCTAGCAGAGTACTGGACCATAAGATTTGAAGGCTGATTAAATAAAAAAAGAGTATATAGCTGGAGTGTGGCAGGAAGAGCCTCAGAGTTAGAACATAGCTTTGGAATTTCAGCTCTAACTCTTCATTAAAGGTCTTAGCCATTGGTTTCCTCGTCAGCCAATTAGGAAGATAATTGGAAGATTGTTGTGGGAGATGAGATGTATGTACTGAGTGCTTGCCTGCACTGTCATCGCAGGCACTATCAGTATGAGTTGAAGGCCCATACTTATCTAGCTGTGCTCTAGATGCAACCTCTTTAGAATCCTAGAGCCTTCAAGAATTCAGGATACAGGGTGGTGCCTGTGCTTCAAAGGAGTAGGGCGCTGACCCCATACGCCGGAGGTGGTGGGTTCAAGCCCAGCCCTGGCCAAAAACTGCAACAAACAAACCAAAAGGATGCTGGATACCAAATGGACTCATCCCATTATTTTAAAGATCTGGAGACTGCAAACATTGGTTGGTGAAGTGAAGTGACACATGAGACTGCACCAGGGCTTTGCAACCCTGTCTTCATTTTATGGGTTTATTAGTTTCTTTATCTACTTAAGAGAAGAATTTTCTATTTATAGTTATGACCAATTTTTCCCTTTTTAGGCTGTAAGATTCTTGAGGAAAGTGTACAGCGTGCTGTGTTGGCAGGTAGAAGGATGTTTAGCACATGACCAGCAATGGGGGCTTGATAATGAAGAGTATCAGTTGGAGATCTTAGAGCGAAGGAAGCATTTTTTTAATGGCCCTGGCCCGCTCTCCACAGTTGCACCCCTAGTTCTTGTAAAGTCCTTGGAAGAGGAAACACCCAGGGATGGCATCATAGCCCCAAAGTTACTATCTTACACTACTTACCATATTCATTCATTAACTCACCCGGGTGGATTTAATTCATATAACATGTAATGTAATGGGCAAGTCAAATGAGAAAACAAGGGATTACAGTACTGTGATGAGAGGAGCTAAGGAAGGACCTGCAGAGAGGAGGGTGGGGACACACAACAGGGACCCCAAGTCACAGTAATCATTTGTGTTTTTATAGAGTAAGATCCTGAGAATCACAACCTTCATTCAAGTCTCTTGGCACCTTAGAAGTTTTCCTCCACACTTCCACTGTAGCCGTAGTTCTCAACTAGGGTCAGTTTGGCCTCCCTCTCCCTGGGGACACTTGGCAATGTTTGGAAACACAACTTTGTGTGAGATGCTACCACTGGCCTCTAGTGGGTAGAGACTAGGGACGCTGCTGAGCCTCCTAAAATAACAACACAACCAAGAATTAGCCGGTTCCAGTTGTCAACAGTTGCGAATCAAGATGGAGAAAACTTGCGCTAGAGTAGACAACGGCAGGTAAGTGGAAGTCTCCAACACATCCCTAGCCTCACTCCCCAGTACCAACTTGGGAGACTGAGAACTATTAGGAACTTTGAATAGCACTGAGGAAGTCTCATAGATCCAACCTCATATTTGATGTCCCTGGGAAGTATGTTAAAGCATTGTGCCAAACTCAGATTGCCCTTGAATTCAGCATGTAGGGCCATTTGATTCCACAGGATTCAGTCCTCTAGGATAGTGGTTCTCAACCTTTCTATTGCTGTGACCCTTTGATACAGTTCCTCATGTTGTGGTGACCCCCAACCATAAAATTTTTCCCGTTGCTACTTTATAACTGTAATTTTTCTACTGTTATGAATCATAATGTAAATATCTGATACGCAGGATGTGTATTCCAATGGTCTTAGGGGTCGCAACCCACAGGTTGAGAACTGCCGCAGGTGAACCAAGAAAGCCCAAGTCAAATCACCTAGTGGTCCTTGACATCGTGTAACTGTTACTGGACCCAGGCCAATGTACTGTGCTGTGACGATGGCTGAGGGCCT